TTATACTCTGACGAAACATTTTTATTACACCTGTGGGAATGTGGCTTTAGTGTCCTAACGTTAGAGTTATCAAGGGTGAGGTGTGTCGGTTAATCCTTCGCTGTAAAGTATACTGCATCGGGAAGTATCAACTGGGTATCAGATGATAGTTTACACAGACTGGTATCTTTATAACTGACTCGGTATCATTCCCATCACCGGTGGAACTTCCGGTATCGGACAAGTTTCTTCACTCGTTAATATAATCTATTCGAACCGCACTTGCCGAAGCCACTACTCGATTACGTTAACCGCAACGTAGCATCTGTCGCAGCTAACCAGTAAACAAAGGGTTACTCGAGTCTCGCGAAACCTTTGGACAACCTTGCTCCACCGTTGGTCAGACTCCCTCGAGAGTAGTTCGAAAATCCCTCCATTGGAATGCTTGGTCGCGGTCGAATTTTCTTCATCTACCAAAGGTCCTAACGAAAATGGCGCGTCAACGAGGACGGGATTAGCGGGATTTCGCGTGACACAGTTTAAACAGGGCCTCCTCTGCCTCCCGCGACGCTTTGGTAGTGACACGGGAGATACGGAGCTGGCAAATCCGACGGTATCTCGCGGAGCTGCGATGCTCGCCGGAAGCGTAGCGGATTTAACTCGTATACGGGCAAATCTACGACGTAACGGGCTGAGATACGCGACGTCAGCACGCACACCTCGGCCACCATCGTATCGGAGTGTTTGTCCCTGGACGAAGGATACGTGATCGCGGCCATTTTCGCGGACAAGTCACGCGAGAACTTCCGCTCGACGTATAGTCGCGATTTTTCCATCTTCGCTTGGGGAACGTTGGTTCTAATTGTTTGAGGGAGGTTGCTTGCTGGTACCTCATCGAAATCTTGTAGATAATGTTTCTTTTTTTGGTACTCTTTCGCGAACCTCAGATATGTACGCGTTATTCCTTCAGTATGAATAAATAGGTATTTATGTGATGTGTTTTTTAACTGACTTCGAAAAGAAGGAGGTTGTTCAATTCGATATGTATATATGTGTCCAATGAGAGTATTTAGATTGCTTACAAGGGGAGTATACACAATAGTATTTCAAATAGAGACTTCCACAAAGAAGGTAACAAAATATTGAATTTTAATCTATTACATGCTTTTTAAAAAATTATCTTCTAATTAAAATCTCTGTTTTTTTTTACAATTCTTGCCCTAGGACATCAACAGGCCATCCTCAAACAATTAGAATGACATCTACGATTGATCCAGAGTATCTTCTGGGAGTGATATTTCGTTCTCCAATCTATGCATCGAGATTAACGTAACGATGAAAATTCACGGGGATCACAGAGCGGCGGCCGCGTCAAGTGCTCGCTCCAGGTAAACTCCCGTTGCAGATGATAAGGCGAGATTGTAAAATAAGACGTTCCGAGACATCCTCCTGTGCCGCCGATCCTCGATCTTATTGAGAAAGGTTTCCCCGAGCTTTACGATTATCAGTTTTTTTCTCTATCCCCGCGGAGTAATGAGACGGTGGAGCAAGGTGAGACGCGACAGGGATCGCGGCGCTAGAGAACGAGTCTTCCTTATTTTCTTGCTGTCTTTTAACGAGGTAACCGGCTCCTGACACACAACCGGTATCAGTGACTGGGTCGTCTGTTACGCACAGGAAACAGCATAATATCGATCGTCGTTGGAGTCTCCGATCGATCCGTAAGTAAGAGTATCTCCAAGTAGAAACGTCCGAAACGGTCAGACATCGATTGAAACAGGGCATACCTATTAATACATCGTGAAAAAGCTCTTTTCGGAAGCAGGTCTATATTCGATTAAAAATTAGTACTTCAACTAGCACAGTAACATTTCGATCACAATAAAAAATTGCGCACTCAAATTAAATGATCTTCCCTTAAAAAAAATTCACAGAAATTCCAAAAGTGAGATATCGATAAATTCAAGTCAATGCTCAATATTTTTCAATGACACTCTAACAGCATCCATTGGAGACCTCAACGCGTGTTCGTCATAGAGAACGATTGAAAAGCAAGTCCACCGTGCGGAGAACGAGCCAGATCGTTAGAGGCTTCGGCGATCCGTGTTGGCCTAACTCGCGCCTCTCGGATACGCACCTGGTGTTAATTAGCGAAACGCACGGGGCCATGGGTGAGAGAAAAAAAATAGGAAAAAAGAAGTCGCGTGGTGGAGAGCGAAAGTGACCGTCCAGCGTGCGCGCCAACAGTGTGTGTGTGCTGCGGAGGAGGTGTGAGAGAGACGTGACGGATTGGTTCGCGCGGATTTTTCTCGCCTCTATATTTTTTCCATGTCCTCTCCGTGAAGTGACCGATCGTTTACAGGTGAGTGGTCTGGAGAACACTGACGTTTTTGTTTGTTTTTTTTTTCTTTTTCAGGCGGTGAACCGAGCTGAATCGTTCCATCGAAGAACAACAGAATTAGAAAAGTCTCTGACTAAATTAGGACCGTCTTCGATCGAACGATTGCTCGTAGTGCAGGAGGCTTAAAAATAGCTTGGCTGTGGGCAGAATTCGAAGAAAATGGCAAGTGAATTTCCTAGGAATTCTTCATGGCGATTTTAACCCATTGACAGTTTTATTTGATCTGCTTTCACATTTAATTCTCGTTAAAAAATGAATTGTATGTGCAACGAATCTTAATGCCTTGTAATTCCTTGACTCGACCACAGAAAAATCAAGTTTATTCTTTTCCACGCAAGCAAGAATGTCGCTACTAATAAATCATTTACTTTCAACGAATCAAAAAGGTACCAGGATAAATACTTATACACCTCCAACCCTACCAATTCTCGACAACGAAGCAAAAATAATTAAGGAATAACGACGATCGTTGTCAATGGGTTAACGATGCGTGAAAGATCTCCGCATCGTATCTCGTTTCGCAGTTTAGATCCGTTCGCATTCTGCCCACGCGTTAAGGCGAGACCACATTCGCTCATACATTACGAATCTTTCTGAACGTATACGCTTCCCTCATTGTCCACGGAAATTTGTTTAAATTTATTCGCAGGGTAATTGCGTTACCGGTCGGCTCACGCATCGGTGCCTCGAGTAAAAAGGAGTCGATAAGCGACGAACAGGTTTGCGAGGAAGCCGTGACTAAAACTCGCTAGAGCAGATGTTGCAAGATGGAATGCAGGGACTTGTTTCTTTTTCACAGGCCTTGCAATAGAGACTGCTGACGTTTCGTTCAAACTTATTGCGCGGCGCGATTGGACGGATTCCACAAGAGTCGAGTAAACAGTGTAACGTGAAAATTCTGTTGCAAAATGTGAACTAATAATTCAAGATAATAATTTCTCCGATTCAAAATCCATACGATAATTTTTCATTCTTTAGCAAACTAATTTGATTCAATTGCCTGCACTCGTATTGCAAACTATGCCAGACTATAGATTCGAGCATAAGAGATGTATATAATCTTATGCTTATCACAAGCAGAGAAATTTTATTACCACATCAATTCATAGGCACTCGTAAGAAACATGTATGAATGTCTTGGACCATCATATTCTGATCTTCATGAGCATACTTTATATATTTTGTTATAAAAATTAACTCCTAACTATATACAAATCTGTGTAAAAAATACCCATGAATATCAAACTGTATGTCGAAGACATTGTAGATACATTCTCTGGAAGCACATTACGAATTATTCAAACATTTTTATTCAAACCAGCATTTTCTGCGACCTTTTCTTAAATTTATGATTAAATGTCACGGTGAATGGTGCCTGACGATAATTTTGAAGAAGTCGGGCAGCAAGTGCATAGGAAAAACGTGCGAAAGGCTGGAAAGTGTTGCGAGCAGAGGTCGTCGGAGGCGCAGCTGCGAGGCCGATTCGTAAATCATCGATGTTACAGATTCGTTACGTCTCACGCGCGTGTGCCAGGGCGTAGAGAAGCGTTTCATTAACGATCCGGAACATCTGAAATAAATGGCAAACAGCGTGCGCGCGCGGCCCGCTTAGGGACGTCGCAATGAAAAGTAAGTACACCGGTCAGAGGGGGACGACGGAAGGGAAGAGGGTACAAAGTAGCCAGCAACCGCGTTACACCAAACCCAGAGCCAGATAAGAAGCACGAAAATCACCATTTGTTAGTAGGAGGTCTTGCAAATAGTACGTTCGCGTGTTTTACAGGTGCACAGAATCGAGCGAGGAAACGTGCTTGGTATTTTACGCGATGAATTTGCTTCTTTCGTTCCCTTTTCGTCGCTAGTCTGCGACGATTTTCGCGGAGGAACGAACGATCTCCCAAGACGAAATAGAGGAGTACACATTTACCACCCTATGTAAGATAGATCGTGCTCGTACAAATAGAATATTTTTACGCGTACTTTGGTATCTCGAGATACGTTAAGTTCTTTCTTCGCAGGACACCTTACGCAGGATTTTAATGAAAATGTAAGGTTCCCCATAAGGATCGATTCCTCTTGCAAAATGGAATCGAAAAGTCCTTACCATTTTCCAATATGAAAACTTTGTTATCGAGATACAAGCAGATGAAGCTAGTGTGACACACGGTTGACGCCATTTTTGTTCCAATTAGCTGATCGCAGTTCGTGCGCAAACTTCAACTGTTTATATTTCGACGACGAACCCTCGGATTGAAAAATAAAAAAGGACTCTTCGATTTGTATTGACACGAAGAATTGACTCCTCAAAAAGAGGTTGCTGATTTTCCTTGACAACTTATGATATGCTCGCACAAATTGAACATTTATACCCGCGTTAAATCTCTCCGTTGATAATCATATTACATTGGAAGAACATTCGTTTTTGCGACAAATGCCAGTCCAAAAATTCCAGCAGTTACTAGAGTGTGCCCGGTGAATTTGGGAACAAAAAAAAAGAAGGTACGAACCGATGCTGTGCAATTATATAATTGTCATTCGACGTCATTCATCATTTCCAGTCGTTGAGCGCGGCTCGCGTTCGGTAATCTCCGAAATCCGATAAATTCGCCTGACAATTGGCAATAAATTTTTAGCGGAAAACACAACGTCACACGATCCCGCGCCACCGGGTGCGCAGTTATCGTTCCATCTACAACCGTGTATCGTTGTTTTATCATACGAATCTGCGGTACGAGCACGTTCAATAATTTCTCGTCTCTCTCTCTCTCTCTCTCTCTCTCTCTCTCTCTCCCTCTCTCTCTCTCTCTCTCTCGCGCTCTCTCTCGCTCTTTTTTTCTATTCCTGCTCGTCCAAATCCCTAAACACCTGTCCCCTTCCCCCGTTTAACCCCAAACACACCACTCTGCCTCTCTTTCTCTCTACCACTCTCTGAATTCTCCTATAGGGTCGAAAGAGTCGAACGGTTCGTTAAATGCCTTTTTAGCCGATCTCCCTTCAGAGCCAGCTTTTCGAGGCGGCGAAGCGATTTTCTCGGGGTGACGTTAAAAAAGTGTTTCTGGCACGCGCGCCCGCTATCGAGCGTTACGCACGACGATTCGAAACAAGTCCCTCGACTAGGAGGGTTCGAAGACACCCGGCTTCGCAATACATCCTGCAACAGACTTGGGGTAACATATTAAAAAAAAAGGGGCGGGGGGGATAACACGGAAGAGAAAACGGAAGAATATAACAGAGAGAAAGGAAGTCACGGGTGCGGAAAATAAGGACAGTGCCGAAGGGTCGCGCCGGACCTCGAAGACGGAGGGTGGACGCGGTCGAATTAGCATACACGAGCGAAGAGAGTTCGAGGGTGACGGTGACAGTGGTTGTACGCTTAACTAGGTATACGGGGGGTCGTTTAAAAATCCGTGAGTGGCGTATAGTTCCTAGACAGGATTCTTTGAAACGCGGTACGCGATTTTGCGGAGTCACTCGCCTGGATAAAGCTACCGTTTACGAATCCTCGTGAAACCTTTCCTCGACGGTGACCACCATTAGCAGCTGAAGGGAATGCCTCTAGGGGATGCACTGGATTCAAATGATCCGAAATCCATTGGGCGAAATGTGAGTCATGGTTGTTAATAACGAATAAAAGGGTTGAACATTTACTATTCATGTTTGATCTGTGCTGGTATGGACAAAGAATTAGATGAACTTTATGTACCCCTCGAAGGAAGGGTTGAATGAAGCTACGAGTTAACAGTAACGTATTTAAAATAATCTTACAAACATCTAATATTTTAAAGAAATTTGTTTTCAAAAAACTACGACAAATGGTTGAATGTCAATTATCATTAGCCTCGATAAAATAAATAACATTTTTCCACATCTTTTTTCTGCTTCAGAAATATTATTAGAAACCTCTTACACCTGTAGTCCCAGAATTCTACAAAATTTCAACACTATTTCCTCAGTAGCCAACGATCCTACTTGTGCCGAAGAGTTGAGAGAAAGACAGAGCTGAGCAGCGACCAGCACTGACAGCGGTGCATCGTTAGGTGAAAAAAGGAGAACCTGATGCCCGTGAAGAGGGAGTCGCGTGAGGACGGTTTCAACCGCGACGGAAACCATTCCTGTTAATCGCATGGATGATCGGTGCAGCGAGCAAGAAAATGCGAGCCGTTTGCATCGCAACCGATGGAATTCGCCGCGATAAAGGTGCAAGAACCTCGTCGGAGTTATCAACTCGAGAGAGGCAGGTCCAGCGTTCTCGGAATGAGCGACAGAGCGGCGATAGAGAGGGTATGTGTGCGTTATTAATTCTAGTACCATTAATCATACTTGCGTTACTGGGCAGAAACAAGCGATAGACCAAGGAGACAGAGAAAAAATAATAATAATAATAAATCTAAAAGGAACAGAGAGCGATACAGCCTTTGCGAGAGGAGAGCGAGCCTGAAGCAGCGTTGGGCAAAATTTAATCGGAGCAACGGTTGACGATTACTATTCAACATTCAAACGGATAATCGTAAATCGTGCGTAACGATTAGCGATTAAATTAATCATTAATCGTTCGGGACGCTGAACGATTGACAGTCAAATTAAACATTAAATACTCCGCTGTTGCATTATTTATATTGAGTAATGAATCACTAAAGCAACGTAGTACATGGTTAATTGAATTAATCGATAGTCGTTCGAGACCAGCGTTGCTCGAATTAATGGTTATTCTTCGGTGTCGAGTCGATAAAATCGGACGTTTTCAAAAAGGGTAATTATTCTCGGTGATTCGAGCAGTTTATTATTAGTATTCTGCGTGGTCATCGTTGCAAGACGTTTAAGTAGGTCATGTTCTCGAGACGGTCTCGAAAAAATTACACGAGATGAAAGATAATGCAAAAGCATTCTTCGCGTAACGCACACTATATTCCTATAGAAATTTAGCTGTTGATTCGTTGATATATTAATTAAATCCATATCCTTCCTGGTATAGATTAAAAAAAAAATATGATCACAAAATTGAACTATTTCAAACTACATTCCTAAAGATTCATTTCAAATAATCCTCAAATACATATCTTTGGTTTACTGAAGAATAACCATTGACTCCATCAACGATAGTCCCAAGACGCCCGATTTCCTTGAATCCAATCGTCAACAGACCCGAGCGATCGATTTCCAAGTAATCGACTAACCCCGATCAATTCCCACTGCTACATTTCCAATCGATTAGTTGAGAAGAATTAGTCGAATTAATGCCCAACTCTGGTGAGAAGAGAGAACGAGAGAGAGAGAGGGAGACCTATATTTTATTTGTCCTCCTCCGACTAGAATATACATGATCCCTCTTTTCCAGTTTATCTACGGTTCCCATCCCTCCCAACCCCTCTGCGACGCGACATTTACAGACCCCTTTGTAAACTGACATATAAGATAATTCGTTTTCTCGGTTTGGTGTAGAAGCGGCTATCGGATACCTTGCTGAGCGGGATGCCTATTGTGGTTGCTAGGTGCCATCATGTGCATCTGGTGTGCCCCGACCGGCGACCTCAGCGACAAATTGTTCAGGTTCACGTTTATCGAAAGATTCGTATTGTTACAGGCGGCGGTCAGGTTGTTGTGATTGTTCGGCGGTGCGGTGGTCGGTGTTGTACCCACATTGGAGGCGGTGTGCGGCGACAATCCAGAGCTGTCGGTAGTCGGCGCTGACGGGTTCGACGAGGTGTTGTGAGAGGTGAAGTCCTTGCCGCCGTTTGCTCCGCCAGCGCCGCCGCTGGTGCCAGATGAACCGCCGGATCCACCTGTCACCGTCTTCGAACACCTCAGACACTTGGGCAACCAGGAATGACGGCGCACGAACTTCCTGTATTCCTTTCTCACCTGCAATGGAGAAGCAGACCCACCCCCCGAACGAAACGTTTTAACGGTGCACAAAGAACCAAGGCAAGTGCTAGCACGCGAATCATGACAAATGAACGAAACAACACATCGAAATGATAGAAAATAAAGTGGAGATGCACGAGAATGACCACTTTACGTACTCGTAGAGAAAGGAAAACTGTTTCATCGTTACATCTGTGTTGCGACGCTCCGGGAAGTTATACCGAGACGCGACACTAGCGCCGTCTGCGGTCAAGCGAGAACTACAACAGGCGCCTGCACCAGTGGACACGTCATTTACTCCCTTTCGATTAAATTAACATTTTACAGATTGATGAAGTCTAATAACTATCTGCTTCCCGATTTCCCAGAACACAGATGCAAGATAAAAATTTGTCTCCTCCAGCGAGTATCAAAGATGGTCATTACTAAATATACACTTCATCGAACGTTCGCTTGAAAATGTCAAAAGCTGTCGGCAAGCTCGGATATGTTTCGGTGCTGAATTTACAGATAAATCAAGAAAAGAGCGGTGCATCCTTCAAGTGGCAACCAAGGCGTAAAAGTTGTCAAGTCAAACGAAAAGGAAGGGACTAGCTGCAAATCAGACTAAAGGATCCCGAAGATTCGTCGAATAAACGTGGGCGATGTTTGAGATTGCCACAGCACTTTATTCGAGAACATCATTTGTATTTTATTCTTTTTTTTTTTCTTGTCATCGTGTTCGTTTACGAGATATCGTTAATACGAGAGACGTTGCGTCAACGTGACTCCCACTCAAGTGATCTTGCCCTAGGAATTACTCGCTACTTATACAATGAATCCGCTTCGGTAACGCAGTTCTTATGTTACAAGATGCTTGACTCGTGAATAATAAATGTAACACAACTTACGTTAGAAACAGTTTTACAATCTTTATATAAAATTCCGGCTACTCGTTCGACAACTCGCCGACACATTGTTTTCCTTCACTTGCTTCTCGTCTTGTTGTTTCGAGATTTACGGTCAACTCAGCACGGAATCGCGAGATTTACATGTCATTAACACTTGTACTTTCAACAAATTATTTAGAAACCGATCGAACGATTCGTTATAATTCCTCGCTTTATTTACGAGGTCGCTCGATCGTTTATCGTCTCGCGAGGGAACCACGCCAAGTGCATCGCTCAGATTTTGATGAACTGTATCGAGGCAATTTTCAAATGTGCATCTAAGCGCCCCCCCCCCCAACCCCCCGCAGATTCAACCGATTTCAGTTGTTACCAAGAGAGAATTTCCTTCTCGAAAGATGAAAATAAATTTCACCCAGAGTTAAAACACGAGCGTGGAACACTCGACGGCCGATTCCCTCGTCAGATGGTACCGAGGAAGATGAAAGAGCGACGAATGACTCGACGATTCGCGTTGGAGCTTAGAGTAAGGTTGACGTTTGTACCCCGACGTATTCCCTTACCTTCTCGTTCTGAACGCAATGGAACACAAAGATAAACAGCCCCTGCAGACTATTCAATATGGTGAAGATGTACGCCATCGCGACGGACTCTTGGTTCAAGTAGAGGAGCCCGAACGTCCAGGTGAGCCCCAGTAGAAATACCAGGACGATTGCGCCTCTCAGCCATGCCCTATGGTTGGGAAAAAAAAACACACACGCATACGCAAATCAGTTACACGGTGAAATAACAATTTTCTCTGCGTGATCGTCGCGGCGATGCTTAAAGGAATGAACGTGAAACTCACAGAGGGGGGTTCGGACGTGGTGAATACGAGAAAGAAGGAAAAATAAAGAACACAGTCGAAGGGGAAACGGGGGACCTCTTTAGTCTCGTTGCATCGACGGTGTGTATTAAGACTAACGTGCTAAATGACGTGTGACTTTAATTCTAATAATTCCAGTGTTACATTTGTCACGTTTCTTATCGAAATGGAGCGAGCGAGAACACGGAAGATTATCAAGAACGGTGTTATGCGCCGAAGTGCACGCAACATTTCGAGCGAGCCAGACGCTAACGTGTACTAATGCTGCTCGTTTCTACACGGTGTCGTGTGAACACGTTCCACCCGACGCATTAGCATCGTTAATGCTTTTCGTGAGAGACTAGAAGCGGCCCGAGTCCTGTAAGCATCGCACACACACCGCATTTCTTTGTAACTACTCTTTTTCTTCCTTCTCTGTTTCATTCTTTCCTCCGTCCTTCGTTCCACGAGTTTCTCCCTTTTTCCGTCGATCTTTCGAAACGATCGCGACTACGAGGAACGGGAGCGGGACTGAGGTTCTCGAGCTACACAGGTAGAGGCGGGGGCGTTGTTCGTTTTACGTCTAATCTCGCGTACTCTAACTACTTTTCTCGAATCAGGCGCGTTACACCCGAAAAACTAAAGGATAAATACGGCATGCGATCGGATCGGCCGTGCGCATTTCGAGGATCGAGAGAATGCATCGATCGATCCAGCGTGGAATTTTTCTAAGCGTTATCACGAGGAACCTTTGATCAGTGGCGCGTTATGTCATTATACAAATTTAGGGATTCCATTTCTTTTAAAGCCTTATAGAGCTTGCTTTTATATTTCTGCCTTTAAAACTGACTCTAGTTTTGCACTTCTTTCTAACCCACCCTTTCACCCCTTTCATTTATTTTTTCATACACAAATATACCTATATGTATACTCTCCAGTTTCACGTTACCATAAAAGAGTTCTTCCCTCATTAGACTAACGAGTAAATAATTAAAATTGTGGAAAATGTAGCAAAGACTTACACAGTGTGTGCACACCACTTCCTTTTAGCGACTAAGTGTAAAAAATTTATTTCGATCTCCCCCTATAGTAAAAGCCTCATATCTGCTTTGTTTACAGGATAACGCGCCATTGTCCTCGAGTACGTAAAGCAGCGATAATTGTTACTCAGCCGCGGCTGCAAACCGATAATTGCGTTCCCAGCGAGTCGCACGATCGATCCGATTGATCGTTCAACGTACAGGCCGTTTGTCACGGCGAGACTAGCTACGTTTACGTTCTACATTCGCAGTGTTCAATCGAAAATGATGGTCAGCTCGAATGGAAACGAAATATAACAGAGGGGAAAAATGTGTGAATGATGGGTAAATCATATAGGCACGTGGGCACGACGGTTAGTGAGATGAACGTTAAATACGATGAACGTGATGTGTGAGTAATAATAAAAATGGTAAATATCTTACAAGTGCGCTTGCAATTTGTTGGGAAGAGCATTCTCTTCCTTTCCACTACCAACCAACCACGCCATGCAGAAGAATGTAGAACAGTGTAGACAGAAGTGGGTAGAAGATTTAATACAAAAATGAAACAAGACAGCAAAGTTAGGTGATTGTTCCGGCACCATTGATTAATTAATTGATTATATAAAAAAATAAAGAATAATCATTTATCGTTTAGCTGGTGCAACGCTCGATTCGTATTACTATGCGCTGTGTCGATCTCTGGCCGTTAGTGCAACGATAGCATAAACGTTTCAACCTGTGAATTACCGAAGGCAGAAATAATATAACGAATGGCACAGAAAATGTATAACGATAAAGCAGTCTCGATAATAATTCGACTCGAGTTTGCAGGAAAATTTAACTACCATCACCGAAATTTTCATAATATGCTATATCGAGTTAACACCGTGACGTTATTACCGGTCTCTCTACATTTTTTCCGTTTCATTTGTGAATCAGAAAACAGCAATGTAATTAACGGAACAACTGTACGTATAATTCTCGACTGTGACCACGTTTCCAATCGCGCACGCACGAGCTAGTCAGTGTCGTTAAATCATAAATGTACAGAGTATTCGTCAAGAATGAACCAAATTAATATCTTCGTTGCTTCAAGTAGTAAAAAGGCTCAACAATAATTTCTCTGTCTATCTAAAGGAGATTCAAGGAAACACCCCTCTACTATCCGAAACAGCCAAAAAATCCAAGGTGGTTCATTCCTCGCAGAACACCCTGCGCGTATATACCATACGTCCATATAATACCTAAGATTTACAGCAACACAAGTGATGTGTCGAACGAACGAAATCTGCGGTCATGCCAACACAGGTACTGAACAGAGACAAAAAGGAAAACGAAAAAACTCAGCATGGCCGCCAAATGATGCGTGACAATAAGATTCTCTTTCATGGGAGATCTCTTTCAAGCAAGTAAAGCTTGCGAACGTGAACCGAAAGCACGAAACAGACACTTCGTTTCTACTCGATCAGAGGATATATGTAACATCGTATACTTCAACGTGTTTAACGTACGGGACTCGATCGATTACTTCATGTAGAAATATATGTATATATACATGTACAAGTTTTTCGTTACGCACGATAATTACGTCGGAACCCGGAGTGTCTGGGCTTACCTTGCACTGGCCAATCGTGAGTGCTCCTTACTCTTCATCGCTACCGTTGTGTTCGCGTGCCGGCACATCATGTAAATTGCCATCGACAGGAACACCAGGTTCGCCTGATCAAACAAAAGTACATCGATAAATATTGTCATCGTCCACGAGCATGACGCCTCGCACGTGTCAGAATCCGATCGCTTTAGCTGTTTGCGTGTCATCGTTCTAGGATGAGCGCACACCTCTCGGAATAATTAGAGGATCCGTCACTTGACTGAGGTAGGTTGAAGTATCGAACGTTCGGTTGAAATGTAGTTAGTCTCAATTATGTAATTACAAGAATGAGTTCACCAAGGTATATAGCACATCGGTATCCAAGTGTATCACAAATTTCACTAATTTAATTTAAGAGAAAGTGATCAACTATGTACACAGATTCGTCATTCAAATAATGTCTTGACTATTAACGCAATATTTCTTCCTGATCCTCTTATGAAAGGATCTATTTATTTCGAGTAGTGTGCTGAAACTCGCGTCCTCCAACGAAAGCTATCCTAGAATATTAGCGCACGACTTACCAGTATAACGAGTATCACGGGTCCAACGAAGCTGAAGATGAAGTAGTTGTCCGCTCGCAGCCAGCAGTATCGATCGGTGCCGTAACTGAGAGGATCGATTATACACGATATAGCAACTACGAGGAGCGGGGCACCGTAAGCGACCAGATAGTACCAGCGGAGCCTTGATTTTTCCGCTTCGAAGACCTCTATCAGCATCACGTATAATTGGAATCCTGGAAGAACGCCGGAGAAGGGGGTAATCAGACACGTTTTCTCGGATCGGCGAGAAATTATTCGACGTCTCGTCGTACTAAGTCAGCGAACCGAGTTGTCTCTTAGCGAACGTACCTTCGAGGAACATCCAGGCGAACGCGCAGAGGAAGAAGAAGTGCAAGAGTCCGGCGACGATGCCGCAGACAATTCTCTGATTCGTTTGACCGATTCCGCAAACGAATAAAATTTCCGCGATCAGCAAGCACACGCAGAGGTTTTTGTGGATGGTGGTGCGGTCCGACTGAAACGTAGATCGTTCGTGACGTTCGATGGACAACCTTGAATTAATCGGGGTCTGGAGGGGGGGGGGGGGATCGATGATTGACGCACACGGAGTCGAGGGTAGCGACGGGTTTACCTTCAGTCCGCGAAATAATTGAAACGTCAGGATGGCCAGGATGAGGCAGACCACGGAAATGATGCAACCGATGTAGGTGATGATCTGCAGGGCGACTTGATGAGCGATGTCCAGCCTGACGGCGTGGACGTCCATGAGAACGGCGAAGTTCGTCAAATGGTTGCACTCGCAGACCGTGTGGGTTTCGTTCGTTTTGCGTATCTGGCAACCCTCCTCCGACCACGCGCTGGAAAATTAAATTCAAACACCGATTACCACGTGTGGGGATACGGTATTTATTTCAAGATGGACCGACAAACATGTTCCTTGAACTCGGGAGCACCGACTCCATGATGAGATATGAATCATTAAATTGGGATTACAAGATCCATCATTAGTCATAGAGAATGTTACCTCAGAGTGTAGTCCCAGAAGACGCAGGTCGGATTGGTGACGTTCTCAATGGAGAGATGCTTGAAATAGACCCTGACGGGCTCGCTGAGCTGTATGTGCCTCCCTTTGCCCAAAGACGCGGATATCACTTTGCTGTTGAGAAGCCTGGTCGTGTTCCTTTTCGGCAGCGGCTGGGGATCGTCATTCATGACCAGCGACGATACCTCGACTTGCGGCTGCAAGATCTCCTCGAGTCTGTCAAAGGCCATGAAGACTAGACGGACAATACCGCCGTGACTGTTCTCCAGCAAAGCGCCTCTGGTCAGTTCCACCCGATCGTTTGAGGCTGCCCACCTTTGTTGCGCAGCATCCGTGGGGAAGACTTCGAGATCGTCGCCGATGTTTCGAGCGTCCAACACTCGCACCTCCAGCACTGTTCGAAATGGGAAATAAAATGATTAACACTGGTCAAAGTAATGGATTTTCCTTTTCTCCTCATTTCTGCGTGGATATTCAAGTTACACAGTAATGGATTTAAGAACCTTAGAACGTAACATTTATAAACATAGAAACGGAGGCCATCGAAATAAAATTTTGCCCAGTCCCGACTCGTTTGTCTAACATACCGACGATAAAGCCGCGTGTGCGCGTGCGCGTGCTTTTTCATTTTCTATGTCGCGGCGTTCCGTTCAATCAGTCATGTTCGCGACAGGTAACGTTGGCGACGAGAAAAATTCGAGGCACGCGATGATGGGAAGGGAGTTTTCCGTTGGCGAGGGAAGAAAGAGCGCCGACCAGGTATGGGAATATTATGTTACACGGTCGGCTGTCGCTCATCAAACTCGTCTTCTTTTTACCCTTTACTGTTATGCTATTTATCACGCGGGGATCTAATGTTGCTACTACTTCGTTCGAACCGGCGGTGTGTAACTCGCTTCCAGGCTCAATCACGACGCGCGAACCTTACTTCCGGGAAGTAAATCAAATTGCTCGTAATTTTCCCCGTGGGTTTTGTTGTGATAACGGTGGGAAGGGGGGAGAGGATGGGGGGGGGGGGGTCGGGAGAGGCGAGGCTCTCGGGTTACAACATTATCCGGGAAGGTACCAGAGAATTACGATGGGTTTGGATCTTTGTTTTATCTGCGCCGGATATTACCAGCGTCGCATTCTCCAGATAAGGGATCTAGATTTATGCGACCCAATGCTAAACTCGGACCTACAGTGCTCGCATGTTCATTCTACCGGAGATCCGGCGCTAACTTGTTACTCGGCTACTATTTCTTTTTTAACAGGCGATCCGACGCGGTTGATAAACCGTGATACGGATAAGTCCACGAAATGAAGAACGCGGGACGATGCGAGATGCTAGGTCACCCTGCATAATAAACCGCTGAGAGTTAATGAAAGATCACCGTCGTGCCACGGAGTGGCTAATGACAGGTGCGATCGCTGATATACGGCGATACCTCTTGCAAAGGTAACGTGGAATAGTATTACTTATTTACTTTGCCGGTCTAGACTCTGACTGCATGAATCTCTTTAAGAATGGTGGTTACGATCTATATCCGGTATTATTTATTCGAGGAAGGGTCTCTAATTATTGAAGCAGCAAATTTTTAAATGCATCAGTCTCACTATCCACTAATTACTTACACCAAGCCGACGCAGGTATACGATATCACCGTCAATGTTTACAGGCCTCCGCGCAAGTAGAAACAGTAGTTAATAGATAGACACGTTCACCAAGTCGTACAGTCGTCGTCAAGATTAATAACTCGCGTAGAATTAAAAACCCCAGAATTAAATTATTACTTCCCGTGCTTTAACAATTAATGCATTTAAAAATTTACTGCTTCAATAATTAGAGACCCTAATTGTTAAAGCACGAAAAGTAATAATTTAATTCTGGGGTTTTTAGTTCTATGCAAGTTATTAATCTCCGCTACGACTGCACGACTTGATGAACGTGTCTGTCTATTAACTGCTGTTTCTAATTGCGCGGAGACCTGTAAATATTGACGGTGATATCGTATTACCTGCGTCGGCTTGGTGTAAGTAATTAGTGGATAGTAAGACTGACGGAAAGCAGATAGTGCTATACCGTCATCAATGTTTGCGAATATAGGTTTCAGTAGAATCAGCGAGTAATGCACAGACACGTCGAGAGTGGAGTGTCCCATAAATCTTCATTTCTTTTTGCAAATGAAGCCCCGTGCACGAAAAATTTATTCTACATTTTCGCTTCATTTTTGCACGAGGAATGATCATGTATTCGGTTGTACACGTGGGAGACAGAAATATCAGTTAATTAACTCTTGTGTTGATAACCGGATACCCGGTTAGCCATTTCTATGTATTCAAAATAATTTATTACGCATTCTTGTAAAAACTCTCAAAACCGCTTTTAATCGCCATTCTTTGGACATTTTTACATTAATTTAAATTTTAAAAATAAAGATCTAGAGGAACAGTTCTAAAAATTAAGTTATCAATCGTGATCTTTTTAGTTATTAGCACAAGGGTTAAGGAATTGCGCGCCATACTATGTCGTGTATTAATAGTATTACATTCCAAGAAGAGCATAAGATGCTCACCCCGTATACTTAAAGCAACACTTACGTATATTCCTTCCCTCGTGGGTGATCGTCTTCTCGTGCATCAGCGTGTCCGCCAACAAGAACGCGTTCTCTTCGAGTCCAGTGAGGAGAGACGTCGCGACCCTCATCTGCTCCTGATGGCTGAGATCCTTCCAAGACGCCATCTGCGCCTTGTCCAGGAGGTTGCTGCCCGTCCTGACGACGCCCTGCAAGAGCTCCGTGACGCTGACCTCCCTCTGACTGGCATCCTGGTACGTCCTAATGTCCTGGGCCATCTTCTCCGCCATGTTCTTCATGATCTTCGTCGTGATCATCATATCGCCTCCGTAGAGACCCCTGCTGTTGTTCGTCACCTGAGATAGTTCTCGACTGATGCCAAGGATGACGTCCCCCTCCGTCACCCTATTCTCCAGGGTGGTCAACCAGACGGATCGACACTCGCTGAGATCCGGACTGTCGCGATGCCAGAAGGCCGAGTCACCCTTGGCTAGACATTTCCAGCGCGCCAGACCGTTGGCACCGCCGGGACAGCTCTGAACGGCCACGTCGTCGGCTCTGGTCATGTTCCAGGAGAGGTTCCTCGCTATCATCGGGGGACACACTTGTCTGCCGTAGTCGTACCATTGCCCGTTCGAGCTGGACTCCGGGTAGAGCGTGCTGGGCACTAGAATATTTGAGTTAGTTACGAGCGTTAGTTGGGCCGTTACTCGGCCACGGTTAATGGCACGGCTTTAATGTGATTCTAGTGTCCTGTCCCAGGCGGGGGCTGCGGGCTTAACGCGCGACACGTCCTATCGGGGACCGCGGAAACGGAATTTTGGATGCCCAGGGGTGTCTTAATCTTTTGCGGCGATCGTTACAGAGTTCGGCCAGTTGCGCGAATTCGAACGACCTGTGGTCGCGCGACACGGAATATGCTGCACGTTAAAGTTCAGAAGTTTGAGATCTAGTGGTTGTTTGGTGAATAGGGAACTTGTATTTCTTTCGAGATAATGGTAAGAGATCAAGAAGATGGCCTGATAGTAATGCGGAGAACAACATTGGGAAGGATTTTAGTGTTACGTCGCTATCGATATCTTTTCAGGGTCCCTTCAACCGCAGGTCAGCTGAAATTTGGAGGCTCCGACGCCTACCCTTTGAGCATTAACCCTTTCGGTACGATCGTCGACTGTAATTGACAGCCGACAAGCTCTCCCCAGCGCCGAAGCGCCACCCTAATGGACGAGTGATAGTTCTAACCGACTATGGACATCCACTGGACGTACTCTTGTTTCGGGATTCGGCTGATTGTAGCAATTTCAGTTTTGTATGGTTGGTACAGAAAATTAACTATTCCTTATTCATTCTACTTAAGAAAAGTCCTTAATACTAAACCTACCACCAGCGGTCAAATGACTGCTTTCAAACTTTTGTGTACAGTTTTTTGTGTAATGCTTCTTATATGCAGTATAATATTAATTATATATATATATAATTGTTTCATGCATTGTTCAGTTTGGTACCGCATAAAATATTTTTGCCTTTAATTGAAAAAAATGTCTTTAAGACTAAGTCATTTGTCTAATCACGATAAAAATAGGTACAAATGAAATGTCGGTAGGTTTAGTGTTAAGTGCAATCACCTCGTCTCGTGTCCAATAGTTTGTCTAGCAATAAATGACAAGTATCACATAATATTTAGGGCTGCAAACCAAACACTTCGTCGAGGGCCTCGGTGACTTACCAGTGGTCCTTCGAGTCGTTCTCCAAGGGGGGATGGTCGTCGACGTCGGGGCCTGAGTGGTTTCAGGAACGACTGGAGGCACCGCTGGACCGTTCGCAGACGGAACGTTCGCGGGAAGTATCAAGTCTTGGTCCACTTCGACGATATCCATATCAATCGTGGACCTCGTCGACGTGGGACTGCAAAATGGAAGGGGTGACTCGTTATTTTCCACATGGATGGCCAGGCGACAATGTTACGAAAACATTTCTCCGTCAAAAACCACTCTATAACGCAGTTTAATGGAACCTTACGATAACTCTGTTTTCTTTGCGGACGCATCGTCCTTTCTGGACCCGACAGACTTACGTGACGGTTCTTAAAGTTCGCTTCGATCGTTCCATCGTGTTTGAATAAATGTTATTACTACTCGCGTGCTCTTATTATCAACAAATTCTGCTTGTAATTGGTCTCGAATATACACGAGCAAGGAAATCAAATTACAAATTAAATTAGGATTAAATTGTGTAAAATAGGTAGAATTAAATTCAACAAAATTAACATAATTAAACGCTATGCACCAAATAGAGTTGAATCACTAAAATTAAACAGAACTACATTACAAAAATTAAACGGGATTCAATTACACGAATTGAAAGGAATTAAATAGAAATACGATGGAAATGCGCGAATGGAAGGTAATTTAAAGTCACAGGATACCCTGAAATCCCGCAGATAAAGATTTTAATAGAGTCTCCAGGATTTTTTCGGGCGACCGAAAAATACTGACCTTGACGTGGTGGTTATTGGCAGCGTCGGGGTGGACGGCGCCGGCGGCTGGGGCTGCTGTTGAGCCGGGGGTGTCGTAATCCTAGAGGGAGGCCTGACAGTCGGCTTAGCTGTGCTCCAAACGCTCGGCTGCGAAGTCGTGAGCCATGGCGGGCTCGGACGGGACGTTGTCGCGGTCGTCGCCGCTGCAAGTGTTTCGTCGAGATCGGTTTAACGTCGTGAACGCTAGACAGGTGGGGTGGATGGTACGGAACCGAGGTGGCGAAGACGAAGACGAAGACGCGTAAAAGAGGGCCTGTGGGCTTCGGCAGGTCGGCCTTGGTTCGCTAAGAGCTCGTCTACGAGCTTATCGGATTCGAACGCCGGGTATAATTAAGAAGGAAAGTGATTCGAGGGGCTCGCGAAGGGGTAGATGAGCTTCTCGACCCGCTCAAACGACGGGGGATATTTTAAACCTCCTTAGGGGGCGGTGTAGGAAACGGGAATGAATCTCTCGCCAATTCCCATCGGAACGTTTTCTCTTTTACGGCCAGAAACTAGCGCCGGTTCGTTTGTTTCCCACGGAACTGCCGCGTCGCGGTGAGAACGTCTTTAATCTCGACGATTGGACCGTGTTTCCATCGCATCGATCGACGAGAAAATTAATCGGGACTAAGGATGATAGAGATTAATCCGGTTGGAGATATATCGCGCTGCTCGTGACGCGTCGACCGTGGTTCGAGATTGTAACGACTGGATGAAACTGCGTTCGACTTATCGTTGTGACCTTTTTATGCACGGGATCATACCACGTCGAAGTGGTCAGTTTAATGTCAATGGATTCTAATGGATTTAAAATATTTTGTAGCTCAAATAAAATTAAAACAGAAGAAAATTTCTGTGTGTCCCGGATCTAGCAGACCATCTGTTTAATTCCAAAGTCGACTTCTCAGCAGAGAATTACAGATATCGAACGACGTCGAAGGAACAAAAAGAAGTTGATACCCTGATATCGCCTCTCGTCGCAAGCAGCGCTTTTATCATCGCCTTAAAAGGTGACAAACGACGTGTTCGAAAAGCAACGACCGCGAATCGCGTTCCACGGGATCGTCACGAGGGTCATTCCGGGATTCCTATATCGCGAGTAAGCACGTTCGTGGCCGGATAGACGTCTTTCAGCGTCGATGTTTCAATGCTCGTGGGGACAATCGCGACGTTCCATCGGCCCAGCGACAGAAATATTCCCGAAAACGAATGCCATCGGCCAGAAGGCGAGGCCGCACGACGAGATTAGCCTACCTCGCGGCCGATATCGCGACTATATCTGGCCTAAGAGGAGAAAACGATCTTTAACCCAAGATGGCGACGGCAGTTAATCCCTGAACGGGATGGTCCGCGTATTTCGCGGTACTATCTCTATAGGGGTCATCTTTATTGGCCGAAGGGGTTGGCGATAAGGTAAAATACCGGACGTCGCCGATGTCCGTTACGATAGTCGGCTGCGCAAGAGAAACGGGAGACGTGTATGCGTCGTAGCGAAACTGGTAGAAAGAGAGAGAGAGAAGAAGACAGAGGAGTCGCTGGGCTACGTGGTATCGGGGCTACCAACAGATCCGACTCCCCTTTGGATACACGTCGGTGCCCCGAGACCGATCTATCGAGCCCCAAATGAGTATCGATCCGAAGTCGTGAAAGGCAAACAGAGAGACGGGGGAGTTGACAGTTTATGCTCCGATAAGTGATTGCGTCGTCTGCTGGTTTCGGGTGGTCCTAGCGCTAGGCTGTTTTAGTCTATTCGATGGTCACCGTGACACTTCTACTATTTGCAATTTTAACCCTGGGTTGACTTTTGAACTCTTCTAGAACCTCAATTTTATTGGATTGTTCAGAAAATTTGTGACAATTTTTAAGAAAAATTCAAAAGCACATTTGAATTTTGATATGTATTCATTGAATTATACAAGTAGGTTTTTAATATTTGCCTGTATGTATGTTATATACGTGTATTGTCAGCCAAATAATAAATACATTGATATTTTGTTTAATTTAATTTGGAAAATCAGGCTTCTAAGGGTTAAGAGATGTACTTATGTTATTTCTTTTCAACCATTCCAAGATATTCAGACCTGTACCACCTACCAAAAATCGGCATAGACCTTCAGGACAAACCAATATCTACAATTAATTTTAAGAATTTTGTCTTTTAATAATGTGTAATCTTTGGCCAATACTACCCCATATTTACACTTCTCGTTTTCCTAATATGGACGATAATAAATAGAATCCCCTGCTGAGGAGATATACAGCGAACATAAATAAAAAGATAATAAGAAAACAAGACCCTTGAAGTCGCAGGGTTAAAAGAGCCAATTTAAACAAACCTCTCCGCATCGACCGTAAATCTCGCGTTCCAACCGGTAGCAACAACAAGACCGAATATCGTCTTACTTACAAGTAACATTGCAAGCTGACAGAACCGGCGATGATTAAGGGGAGCCAACAGGACGCGATAAACCGTGAATTGATCGTAGGCAAATTAACCGAACGACTGTTTATGAAGGCGAACGAAGCGATGCAAATTCACAATAACGTGCCGAGGCGTCGTTTCGCCACAGTCGATTCGCAGTATCATCGAGCGTAACGATCGATGCTTACAGCAATCTCCCCCCGGTTCTCTCTGGTCTTATTGGGTCGGTGGAAGAGTTTCATTACGATACGAAACACGTCAGAAAAGTTGGATGCGCGCGGGCCGCCCGTGTATCTCGCGTTACCGATCCCTACGATCGATTTCTCGATTGCAAAGATCACGTCTTCGCGAACTCTTCCACCCTTCTCGTTCTCTCTCCGTCTCTCTCCTTTCTACTTGTGGTTTTTTCCCTTCTTCCACTTTATGCTCCGTCTGTCTCGAGAGCGCATAGCCGATGCAAGCCGCTGGCAGATCTTTATCGAGGCACGGGGCTTGCAGTTACGTAGGCCAACGTGAATCATAAGCGCCGACTTTGCCAACTTCTAATCGATTCCCGCGGTCTGCGTTGCGCTTTTTGCCGCGACACGCCGTCGCTGCAACGATGGAAAAAAAAAAGCGAAACTCGATCGATTTTTCGCCGAAGAAAAACGCGAATCGAGAAAAGAAACGAATTATTGCGTTGGAATGTGCTTGAAAGAAAATGGACGGTTCGCAATCATCGATGGTGTCTAACGTTGATAAGAAAGAAGAGTAATTTGATTCTCTGATTAGATTGGTCGTTGTGTTCCATTGTATCATAATAAATAATGTTATATTGAAGATGGAAACTCACAATCTACAAGAGAGGCCATTACTCTCCCTCTTTATTTAAAGAATGCATTAATGAAAAGAGAAATTCTGGGAATCATCGCGAGTTATGCAAGAACTGTTATGAATTTCAAAAAGAAAAGAATTTAATAAGCAAGAGAAATTGACGCGAAAGAAACTGAAGCATGAAGTCGACGCCTATGGGATCGTTGCCTGGCATCTACGGAATACGGTTCGCAAAATGAACGGTACCAAGTGGAAAGCATATTGCAAATAGATCTTTCCACATGAAATCGATAGTTCACGTAAAATTAGCGGTGGTTTAAGACTTTGTAAACCTTTTGTACTTTTACGTGGACTCGATTCGACGCAATGCCTGTTATCGGCGTGGAATGACGTGGATAAAAAAACACTTATAAAAGTGGAGGAGTTTTTACTTACCAGACACGCAACGATAATGCGCCTCGAGGTACTTGTGCGTGTTGGGACAAGGATCGCCGAATTGCGTCGTGGACGCAACGATGCTGCAGTTTTGCTGATTGTTGCACCTGTTTATCGGAGGGTTCGAGACGCGGTTAGCGAAAATCACGTACACCCTTACCAAGTGCACCGAACCATGGATCCTGTCCCTTTCTCTTACCGTCATGAATTCGCGAAGGGGTTACCGCGAATCGAGAGACTTTTTCGACGACGTTCGCACCTTTCGTTGCTCGTTTTGACCCTGTGCTCCAAGCTTTATCCAAGATATACGCGAGAATGAATTTTTAAATGTAAAATAATTAAAAATTCACGTTCATCGAGAGAAATTCTACCCATTGCTCCTTATTAACTTAATAAATTGTAGATTATAAATTACTAGAGGTCTTGGAAAAAACGTGGACGCAATGATCACGCGTGAATCGACCGTAGATCCGGACGACGATGTAAAACAAAATGTGTTCACCAACCTAGGCAATAGTACTGCGCCTCGATGTACTTTCCGGTTCCGGGACACGGGTCCTCCTCGAAAATCTCGCTGCGCACGTCCACCGTACAGGAATTACGATAATTGCACCTGCAATCGTCACGTGACCAAGAGAATGTCGCCCCAGAGGACAATGATAACAGAATACGACGTCCATGAACGGAATCACGAACCAAGAATCAAACGGCAACGGTACCGATAAGAGACAAGAACGACCTTCAAACCTCCACTTTCCCATACTGAGCTTTCGGAAAAGCTGGAAAATCCGTTGAAAGTGCAAGCATTCTACGCCACAATTAATAAATTAATATATTCACCATCACCTGCTGTCGTTTCTCAAAGTATTTGGATGTTCTGCATTCTCAAAAATTAAGGGTTAGTAAAAGGCTGTATAAGAACGTGAAGAATATTATTTATATTTGTTTCGATCAACAACAAATTGAAGTTACCCTAAAAAATTTGATTATTCGCGCCCGTCTCTGACTTCTATTCTCTTTTTATCCCCAATACATTCATCGAGCGAAAAATTTAAACAAGAAACAGTCGCGCGACAGAATAGACGCGCAGTTAATCAAGCGGAATCACAAGATCACTCACACCGTAAGCGAGTCAACGACGAGCCTCGGATAGCCTCAGGCGAAAGTGTTAGGCGACAGTAGACGTCTGGTGTCGTTTTCGCGATGTACAAGTGTTAGTCAGCGGCAACAGGACAACGAGTTAGTAGAGACAAGGTATGCAGTAGTTTTAGAAGCTCAATAGGTGGATACAGACGAACTCGGTACGTGTTGCGTCGTGTATCGTATGTCCGGATTTCGATCGTCCCGTGTTAACAGTTCCACGGCGTGTATGTACAGAGGGATCATGCAGAGAACTTGTACCTCGGAATTCAAGCACGTTAAAGGTTCCCTCGAACGTACCAGGACAACGTTTTTACCCCCGTGCTAATGCCCGATGTTACGAGGAGGGATCGTGGCGCCGAACCAAGTTCAGTCATTCTTGCGAGCGTCGCACTTTATCTCGAGTGCACTTAAACGGGGCCAGAGCGGCAAAGTATCGGTATTGCGAGAAATGGTAAACTTTCGAGAGGAATTCTACGTTACAGTTTCCCTTCTTGTCTGCAGTGCTTTGGCGAGACCCTTCTTCGTTAAAGAGCACCTCGTCGCGGAAAACTCTCGAGAGGTTATGCCACCTTGACGGCGACGTCTTTGTGAATTTTTTGTGACAATACCGTAGCCCCGATCGAAATGAAATTTACCAGTCGGTGTGAAAGGCACTATTAGCTTTGCAATAGGATTTTTTATTCGTAGGTGGGACGCAAAGAAAGCTATGCTATGACACGAACATTCCTCTTGTCTTTAAAATTTGCATTTTACGGTATAACTTGGTTACGGTTAGAATTCGCAATTTTACTTTGATTTTTTATGCTTATCTCACGAGTGAGGTTCTTCCCTTCCACTATTATTCACCGAATTAACACGCAACAAAAATAATTGAACCAGATATCTCAAATAAAAAATAACTTTTCATTAACATAATCTTCGGCTCCGATCACCGGCAGGACCCAGCACAATTACCACCAGAGTCATAAATCATAAAAAGCCATAAGAAAAATGTACCGAGGCGCGATACACGAAAAGAGCGAGTCGTACAAGTACCTATCGACACGACAGAACAAAATAACTCGAGCGTTCCTGTCCCGTTCCCGGTTGAACTGGTTGCTTTAACCCCCCTCTCCCACGGCGCGTCGTTTCCTTTCTGAATAATATACGAACGCGCGGGGGCTGCCTTAGAATCGGCAAGGTGTGCGCGGTTTAATCTCGATTGGGGGCGAGCCATTAAACCAAGTACACAGCCCATTGTTGGCAAAGGCCTGAGCGAAGTGCAGGTGCAAAGCCCACACACGGCCTGTTATCGCTCCGCGTGGCAGCCACTATTTTGGAGGATTAAGCGGCCTCGTCGATCGTTGGTTTTGCACGTGGAAATTTCGCGGCCCCTGGCTGCGACCTTCCCTTCGAATCATTTTTATTCCTCCCGTTCCGTCCCTATTCGTACACGATTTTACCAGCGAGCGCGCGGCCAGGTACGCGCCTTGCGATATAGCCGAGCGAAATCGTGGCCAAGGACGCGAGGATGGTAGAGGGAAAAAATAAAATAAAACGGAAAGAGGAGAAACGTTCCTACGAGCCAGGAGGGATTAATTCGCGCACGTCACGAATCGATCGCTGGCCCGAACGACCCAGCGAAAGGGCGGAATTCCCGTTGACTTTGCCGGAGGGTCGTCGGCGTCAATTCGTCGTGATTCGAGTGGCGTGTATCGACAGCCCCGTGAGAAGTTCCGGTTACTCCGCGTAATTGGCCCAGGTCGTAGATTACTATGTTACGAGGGAAGAAACGGGACCGAGTCGTCCTGTTATCGGCAATCCCGATTCTCGATTTTCACCGGCGCGCCACCCTTTACTTTGGGGTGGCAATCCTTCCCAATTCGACGACCTCGAAATCTAGTAGAAGACCCGACGAGTACCGAAAGCAACCCGATAAAGTGCGACGAGGGTTATATCGATCATTAAGAGAATGTCCATTGGGACGAATTAGTAAGTACTCAATACTGAAAGGGTTACCAAACAAATATCAAAGAAGAAACAAACATGAGTCGATTCTTTATCCACCAGGGGGGCCAGAAAGTAATGCCGTTTCTTTTACATTAAATTCAAACAAGTAAATTCATAACAAGTTATTATTTTTACTCAATTATATACCTTTTGTTATCTAGGGTGCAAATTCTCAATGCCAGATCGATAAAAATCATCAATAAAATTCAATTGGTACACAATGATCTGATAAATGATAAACAAATATTCACATTCGCAGAAACGACATTACTTTTTGGTCCCCCTAATAAAAGTATAATCTCAACAAACTTCTCCTACATATCTTATATATTTTTAGACACCTAATCGACTTCTTTTTGATTGAACGACTACGGCACCGTGGATAACAGTTATCGATGCATGAATTACGCGTAGTTCCTGTCGATTTTCTTTCCCCGACGCTGACGACGCGGCGACGTCGGCGTCGCTCCCCTTCGGGGCTCGTCCTCTTTGCACGCGCGCCACAGAGCCGAGGGTAAACGTAATTTCAGACGAATAAAGTACGAGTTAACACGAAAAATCGCCATTTCGCGGATGTTGCGCCATCGCGTTATTACGGGGGCAATCTCCAATTTTTGGTCGAAAATTGAGGGGTCTTTGTAATTCTTTTTTCGTGACGGAATAATTGGATTGGAACAAAGACCGGTAGATGTATACCTCGTGTAACAACATGCATTAATTTTGTTTAAATACATGTGCTTTATTCAAAATAACTGTTGATTATTGTCTCCTTAATTCAAAGGTACGCACTTCATATTCAGAACATTAATTTTTACTCCGACCGAAAGAGAAAACCTTTTGAAAATAAACCGAAAAGACCGGTCATATGTTGCTTTTGCTCTTCATTTGCTATTCAAAAATAATTCAGCTCATCTCTGGCCGTTTCGCCGTCGATGAACAGTCTTTTATCCGCGTTGCTCGATCATGGAAAAATATGAAAAAGTTTCCTGCACGCGCGCGCGAAAGAAGCACGCGTAATGTATGCATGAAAGTTTCGCCCGGTATCGCGGATCGGTTATCGCGACTGTTTCACGCTTTACAAAGGGCTCGTTTGTAGCCCGTTTTTCGGTACTGTATGGAAATTTCAATTTCACTAACCTTTCCCCGTATCGATACGCTCCCCGGCGATGTATCGATTACAAACATTATTATTCTCGCCCAGTGTAGAGAAACGCGGAAAACTCGATATTTTCGAGACAACGAGATGGGGATGGGATAGATCGTCGTTCGAAACGCGCATTAATAACGTATATACAAAAATGTTCGCTACCCCCAGACAGAGTAATCGATGCATTCGTAATTAAATTACACTGTACAGCGAGTTGCGGTGAAAATGTAGGAAATTACGTGATTTCAGAGAATGAATTTCAGCGAATAGATCGAGTAGAGTGAATCCAGAGTAATTTACAATAGCTGATCATCGAGTATGCCCTTCGAATGTTGAATTTGTGCTGAAGAAAAGAGAGTGCGAATGTACACAGTACGTCGAAATAGGTATGGTCTGCCTTTTCGCGGAGTTGCTCCACTGTGTGTGCTTAGGCACGATTCACACGGACCGTCGTTCATCTTCACGATTTAACACTTTCAAGCGTAGCAGTATTTGCACTCCGTTGTACGCAAAATTTATTGTTATGGCTGCGCAGACCGCGTATTTCAAGCCGGAGTCTAATATTTCACGGAGATCATCGAATCGTGAATTCTGGTCTAGCAACGCGTAGATCAACTGCGAAGTATTCCATCGCGACGCTTTCTAAAAACCGAATAGACCATGCCACGGTAAAAACGTGTAATCTATGAATGATATTCGTGCGAACCTTCAATAAACAGACGAAGACCAACGTTTTCCACCGCGTTTAATTTTAAGGATCGAGTAGCCCGTGTAAAAACAAGAAATAAAACCTCTGAGTTATATCATCGTGAATTTTTTCTACGTGAT